TGATGCTATACACCTCTTATGATTGACAGTTGACAGTTCTAATAATATATATAAAAACCGAAGGCTGAAATCTGGTTAAGCATTTTACAGGGATAAGTAAATTTAAACTTTTGTCTACTAGAGTGGACATGATGCAACAAAGGTTTTACAGGTGGAATTCAACAGGTGGAATTTTAGGAAGGCCATTTGGAAGGCTTACCAGGATGAATTGGAGTTTATTTTTAGTAGACCAACAAACTACAGAAAAAAAACAAGATTCCTACTTTTTGTATTTTCATAAGACTATTTCAGCAGTGGCTAAACATTGGATACATAGATGTAGGAGAAAGAGTACTACAGTTCTCCATAAAGAAATCAATTTAGCAAAGCACAAGAGTTTTAATATTTTTATAAATAATACTGACTATCGTAAAGATAGTGGTGCTAAGGTTTTTAAATTTGTAAATAAAGTGAAACATGACGACTCCCTTTCCACAATGGTACCAATCATTTTTAAAGGGAAGGCTTTAAAATTAAACAAGGATATTTCTAACACTTTTATGAATTTGTATGCTTCTAATTAGCGTTTGAGTGATGAGCTTAAGAGAGATCAAAAGCTGATGAAGAAATTGATCAAGGACTTCCACAGGACTTCAGAATTTGGACAGGAGATTTTTAATACAGAATATGACATTTTGGAACTAGAAGAAGCTATTGATTTCCTAAAGATAGGGAAAAGTCCAGGCCCAGAGATAATATACATTTAGAGTTTATTAAACATCTAGGATATAATGCTCAAATAGTCCTTCTATCTATTTTTAATCATAACTGGAACTCTTATGTACCCACTATGTGGGAAAAAAGCCACTATTATCCCTGTTTTGAAAAAGGATAAACCTACAGATAATATTAAAAGCTATCAACCTATTGCATTCACAAGTGTTTTATCAAAGATTATGGAAAAAATGATAGTCTCTAGACTAACTTGGTTTCTGGAGAGTGACAGTCCTTTGTCTCCTAAACAAGCTGGATTCAGACAATATCACTCCACTGTCCAATAGGTATCTTATGTTAGTCAAGCCATTTAGGATTCTTTAGACAATCACTTATCGGTCCTGGCAACATTTATAGATTTTGAATCAGCTTATGATAAAGTATGGAGCCTACACACTATTCAGAAATTACAGAACTTGGGAATAAATGGCAGGATGTTTTTGTGGATTAAGAAATTATCACAGCGTTTTTCTGCTGTTAGATATGGCTGTGACATTTCTAGATTTAAATGGACTGAAACTCGCCTCCTGCAGGGAACAGTCATTAGCCAATTCTTTTTAATGTTTTTATTAATGATTTACCAAACACTCTGGCTCTGTGGGTGGATTCTGCTCATTTTCCTGATAATTTGGAATCTGATAATTTGGTTATCTGGAATACTGCTTCTAAAAAGAAGGAGGATGGTTTAAATGTGACTCTTGATAGTGCTCTGGAAAATGCTTAAATACTGGTGTCTAAAAAATGGTATGACAGTAAATCAGGATAACAGCATGTGCCAGATCTTCACTCTGAACAGACAGCCTTTTACCTCGAAGGTGACATATAAGGGTGTAGATGTTCAACATAATGATTCGACTAAATTTTGGGTTGCATCCTTGATCCATGCTTAAATTGGAAGAAACATGTGAACATTTGGAAAATAAAATCATGAGAAGACTGTCTTAAACGTTTGGCAGGATCAAGGTGGGGCTGTGACAGAGAAACTGACAACTACTTACAAATTATATTTTCAACCAGTTATTAGTTAATAGCAAGATTCTCATCACGGCTCCAGAGAATGTAGTCTACATCATCAAAATCTTCCAGAACCAAGGATTACGCAAAATTACTGGAGCAGTGAGATCTGCTCCTATTCTTGCAATGCAGCTTTTACCAGTTTAGAACCTGTTCATGATTGTATTAAGAGAAAAATAATCCTAATATACTAGAAGCTGGTGTGTTTGCCTGACTACCATTTTTGGATTTTAGAGAAATTATAAAAAGGAAATTTCTAGAAATCTTATAAATTCAAATTGGCTTTATCCAGGCTGCTCAGAGAGAATATGATGCTTTGGAATTGAGGCGAGATTATCTAATTTTACCTCCTTCCCACTGTCCCTAGGGCTTTTTAAACTTCAATATACATCTTGATTGTATTCAAAGAGTTGTTAAAAATGAAATGAATGATTCATAGTTAAGATCTATAGCAATAGAAACTATTGGAGTTTGCTATCTTCAAATGAGTGGCTGCATTTCGAAACTGATGGCTCTATGTTAGAGAGAATGTGTGGTGCTGAAACAGGTATTCACAGCAAATTTTTTACCAATGGACCCTCCTACTACTGCCTTTTAGGGGGAAATTGAAGCTATTGCTGTTGCTATTCAACAACTGTTGATTCGTAGCTACTCTTTTGTAAAGGCAGTCATATAGTCAGATTCCAAAAGTGCACTTGAAGCCCTTTTGAATAACCTAAATGGTTCCCAAAGGATCTTAGACTGTAGGCCTTTGCTTTAGGCAATGGCACACAGAATTCCTTTCCAATGGATTCCAGCCCACTGTGGAATTAGGGAAAACGAAAAAGCTAACATACTCGCTAAGAATGGAACTTTGATAATGCAACGCATCAATTGACCATTTTCTTTTCATATGACTAAATTGTTTGTTAACCTGACTCTTAAGAAAATTCTTAAGCAGGATATAATTCAACTTGCTATGGATAAGAGATGGAGGATTCTAGTGGAAGAGACAATTTCATTCCTGTTTTTCCAAGAAAGACAGTACTAGTTCTATTTAAACGTCTGACTGGACATAACTGTTTGCAAGACCACCTTTACAGAATTGGAGTGGTGGATTTCCCAAAGTGTATTTTGTGTGACTCCAATCAGCCTATGATTTTTCAAAATTTAAATATTTATATTGCACTTCCTTGGTATGAGGACAATATTAAAAAGTACTGGATAGCCTGTAAACTAATGGCTTAAGTGATAATGTTTGGCATTTGTAAAATAAATATTGACACAGCTTATATTGGCTATGAAAGTGGTAAAAGTAATGCAAAAAATGACAGCGAAAACAGGAAAAAAGTGATGACATGCTGTCATCATTAAAAGCACTGCAAATTCTAAGAAACACTCTTAAACTGGAAGTTGCAGGTCAGAAAAGTTACTTGAAGTTTTGCAAAATTTAAGAATGTAATTGAAAAAGTGTTATAGAAAAAATGAAACAAACGCAGATAAAACAGTTGTTTTAAGAAATATAATTTCATCAAGAACATAATTACAATAAAAAATTAAACAATGAATTTCAAAATAGTTTAATTTTCAATTATTAATTTAGGATTAACTGCTGAATTAGTTGTCTGTCATTGTTTTACTTGAAAAGTTTAATACCATGATTTACAATATACAAATTGCTATTTATTAAACTCAAATACATCTGGAACAGAAGTGATTTTAATAAGCATTGGGTACTGTATACATATTTACTTAGTTCTCTCCCTCTTTTAAATTTCATTTTTGAAATTTCACAGATTTGAAAAATCTTGGCAATGATCACCTATTTTACAGGCATTACTTATTCTGATTATCACGGATTCAATTATTTCAGTATTCTTCACGCCTACAAAAATGAAGGTTTCCTTACAGAATAACATATACAGTAAAATCAATTAAAAACATTATAATTACTGAAAAGATTTATTTTTCAACAATCCTTCAACATTAACAGTGAGAATAAGGAAAATTTGTTTCATACATTCTTTCAGGTTTTCCACAAACTAGATTTCATGATTCGCGTTCTACACATAAAAACTTTTGGGAAGGATGAGATTTTAAAAGACAACAATCAAGAAACTGAAAAGAATCAAAAACTTCAAAAGAAATGAGATTTAAAATAGGCACCACAGAATTGCCTTTTGTAGGCCTATGCTAAATAAGTACTTTCAAACCTATTATTGAAATTCAGAAAAATGAATTGAGACCTAAACAAGACAAAATTACATGTTGAAAAGCTTTTTGATGCTGATTTCAGCATGAGGGAGCTGAAAAATAGTCTTGGAACTTAAGTGATGGGTACTATGGAATTGCAGACAGATTTGGAGCCTTTTATTGAAAGGTGCCAAAGGAGTGCCATGAAACTTGTTGAAATAATCTTAAGGAAAGAAAATTCTTTAAATTACTATAGACCAGCAAGTGAAAGACTAAAAGACTCACAGATTCTTCTTCTTGACTATCTTTACGATACTTAATGATATTTCTACACCTGATCGTCAGATTTTCTCGTAGAAGTTGAAACTCGCATTTTAAATTTAGAAAAGCTGTAAAAACATCTGAATCCTGTTTGGAATGTCAACAAACACCTTTCCACTCCGAATGAGTTTAAAAAGTGCTGCTCTATCCACCATACATTATAGGTAGCCTTCTGATAAGTGGTTCCAAGTTTACACAGATGGTTCAGCACAAAATATGATAACAAATGCTGGTGATGGAGCCTATTCAAGTAATTCTAGTATTAGTTGTCCTGTTGGAAAATACTGAGACAATTTTGATGGAGAGATAGCAGCTATAACATTTGCAACTGATAAATTAAAAAATAGCCTAGACCAAAATATTATATTTTACATCAATTCACAAGCTGCTATTTTATCACTTACCAATTCTAACTATAATGAACATGCCCAAGTTCAATCTTGTAAAATGAAACTTTCTGAGGTAACGGAAAACAGAAAGATTCCTTCAGTGGATTCTGATCCATTGAGATATTTGGGGAAAAGAGCAGGGAGACAACATGATTCCTCTTTGTGTAATATTAAAAGAAAATTTAAATTTTACCCAACCATTGTCCATTTCCTTACTTTTACAGGACATTAGGAACCTCTAATAACATATCTCAAGATTTAATTAAAGTGGGACAAAGAACTAAAAGAGGTTTAGCAAATTGTGCAATGCAAGAAAAGACAACAATAGGTGATTTCATAGGAGGGAGGATATATGAAGAGATTGAATTAAATCTGAAAAATGAGTAAGAAGGAGAAATTACGATTGAGAGGTTTAAAACACAGTGCTGGATAGTGGAGGTTAAAAAAACTTAAATATATGAGGGGACCACCATCCCTATTCATACAGGCATTATCACTGTACACATTAAACCTCCCCCCCCCAAAAAAAAAGGAAATTAAAGAAAAAAGTTTTACCTCTGCTATTGCAGTGTAAAAACTTCTTGCTACACCACTTCCTTCACCGGGTTCATCTTTAAAAGTAACTTTAACTCTTGATACTGTTAAAGGAGGCTGACCTGCACTACTGCGACGGTTACTGCTGTTATACTGGTTATTCAGTTCTTTGAAAGTTTGCTGCAATAAAGACGTTCGATCCCGTTCAACCTGTAACATTTATTTTAAAGACTAAATTAATCTAAAATTTTATAAAACCAAAATATATTACTAATAATGCAATGCAAAAATTAAAGTCAAGCAACCTCATAATTTAGTTGATTTCAAGGTTATTATACAGGAAATATAACAAGACTCATTTTTTACATATACAGATGTATGTGTTGGTATCCAAACACGTCCAAACTAGTTTTAAAAAAATGACATAAATACTTTAATTATAGGCTTAGCTTTATTTTTCCTACAGATTAAAGAGCTATCAATATCTAAAATAAATCATTATTACCTTGCGCAAATATTAATTAAATATAGAAAATAAGGGAAATTTTTAAAAATTTTCAGAACAGCTACTTGAAAAAACTGAGAATTACTTCAAAAATAGCAGCACTATGATAAATTATATACTTTCTTCTAGTGCTTGAAATATAATTTAATACATAATATATTTAATAAAATAACAGATAATCAAAGAATAATTACAAGTTTGTGAGACATTTTTACATACTGTAACTCAATTAGAATACCATTATTAGAAAAGTGTAAACACAATTTCTTTTAGGATGCACACTAAAAAAGTATATAACGATACAGCACGCAGAGTTTCATAAAAACAGTATCATAATATTTTCAGCTATTATTTATGAAGTGAAAAAATTATGAGTAAAAAATCAGTTTTGAAAAAAAAATTGCATTATAAGCTTAAGTTACGCTAAATAAAATACATTAACATAATTGCCCCACACATATTTATAGGTTGTACCCCTCGCAAGATCCTATCTACTCATTTTTCCTTTTTTAGCCAATCTATTTCCTGTTCTTAGCAATTTTTCTCTCAAACAGTGAAGGACACCTGGATTTTCTATTTCTTTCTCCTTCAAGCTCTAAAAGTTCCTTTCAATGTGTAAACACCAAGATGAAAATGAACAATTTAAAGAATGTCTAATAATTCTTTAAAAACTTTCGAAATTTTTTTGCCTAGTTTAGACTTTGTTGTTCAATAAAAATGTCTTTTGGGTCAGATTTTCATATAATACTTTTGTAGCACCTGCTTGCATTCTGTTTCCTTACATATAAGTATTTCAATGATTTTATATTTAATTATGATTATGTTTTATGGTCCCCTTTGAACCTTCCCTTCATTTTGCTGAAATTCACACTAAACAAAATTTGCATGCAATTGCTGCAGCTAGTTGAAATTTGGTGGCACTGACAAGACAGTAATCATGCAATGGCTGCTTTGTCTATGAACAGCGATGGAACACTGCTGCAATTCCTGTACCCTCCCTATATTGGAAATTATTGGTATCTGCTGCAAAATGCAATTTTATAGTAATTGAAAAAATTAAAATTAAACTGCATTTCACAGCAGATGCCAATAATTTCCAAAATAGTAGTTTTGATGAAGTAAATGCTGCAGAAAGTAATTTTGCAGCTTATCAATGAAATTTTTCAATGCAAATTTTCAATGACTTCTTTCAAAGCCTACAGCTCACACATTTTTGAATAGTCCAATATATATTTTGAATGCATCTGTTTTCTAAATTAATACAGTAAAAGCCTGACTATGTGTCATTCAACTAACCAGAAAGCCCAAGTAACAAGAATATTTTCGAATTTTAAAAAGTCTTTTTTAGCATAAAATTAAGCAAATAAGACTTGTAACTCCGTCATAAAGAATGATTAATACTATGATATGAAAAACTGTTGCCAAACAGTGCGATTTACTCCAGCAGTTGATGGAACACTTTGGCTTCATGAAAACTTGATTTATACTTGATAAGCTAGTTTAATTCTTTTAAAAAATCAAATAAGTTAACTACCATTTATCTGTTTTTCAACTGCATTATAAAAAATGATTAAAATTTGGGACTCGTTTTCAACAAAATAGTATGCAGAGTAGTTTCAAGTTTACGGTATGCTGGCATCAAGACAAGTGCAACTTAAAATGGATAAACACTGGCTGTGCAAAATAAAAAATTATGACAAGCAAGTTTTTTATATGCTATGCCTGTAACTTTACGTGAATGAATTAATAAAGAGCAATGTGTTCCTTTACAATTGTGCCAGAATGACTGGTGCAAGTTTGGTGAGATCGCCACTAAGTTTCATGGTCAATGGAATTTTGCAACTGAATATTATGTTTTATTTCAGAATTTATGCCTGGGAATGCTCCCCCCCTTTTTTTTTACTATCTTACATAATTTAAATGTAGGCATTTAATATTCAAGTTGATGATAAAATTACTCTCTTTATAATTTTAGATTGGCCACTCAGATGGTATAATGCACCTCTGAGAGGTGGGGGAACCTTTTTACCATGAGAGGCCACATTTAAATTAGTGATAAAGGAGGGCACATAAGTTTATATACCTACAAATGCGACTTCTATGAAATTATTAGAGTTTTTTTTATAATTTTATCACATTATTGCATTATACAGAAATAATGCCCCAAAAAATCAAGTCATTTATTAAAATAAAAATTTACAATAAAAATATTCTTGTATTCACATAAGGTTAATAACTTATTATATAACATTAATCTTTAATAATTTTTAATAAATAACTTCATATATTTAAATACTGTTTCAAATAAAATAATAGAGTAAAAGTATTTTTCAATAATTTATTACATTACAAAGAAAAACATTAAGTTACACATATAATACTAAATTATAAAAAAACAACATAGAACAATATGTAAAATACTGCTAAAATCTGATGAAAAATTTAATTTATTGAGATATTTGCCTTTGTTTCTTGCCTCAAAGTAACTGAATATTTGGATCAAGCTTCGTAATGCGCAGCCTTAGTAGATCCTCTAAATGAGTGTCTAATTTGTGTTCTTAAACTAGTTTCAATTTTTGTCATCAATCAGAAAATGTTGACTTGTGACAGTAAGTATTTTCCAAAGCAAGAAAGTAAACAGTTTGCATGCTCTCATAAGCATGGATATTCAAGAGCACTTTTCTAGATTCCTATGGGATCCTTTTTAGCAGATTTGAGGATACTTGCTTCCCGTGACTCAAGTAAATTTATTTGTAGTTCTGTAAGAGCTTTGGATATATCTACTAAATGTGGTTCAAATGTCAGTTTCATAGCAGAAGTGTGTTTATCAAAATGTGAAAAGAAATCCAAGACACCTACATATTCATCAAACTTTTTTTAAAACATTTTTGCTAGCTCCTGTAAGTGTTCTCCAGATATATCTGAGCAAGAGAGCAATGTTGAAAATGTTCATTTTTTTTAAATGCTTGGATCTTTTGCCACATTTCATACACATGCTTCCTTTTACTTTGCACAAAAATATTTAAATTATTTTGTTTTGTCATAACATCAAACAAAAATGTAGTGTTCCTGCAAAATGCTTCATCTGATAGATCACATAGATTTCCCTGTTCTTGATAAAAGTTTAAAATTTGCCATCATAAACTTTTATCAAAACCTGCCATGTGATAGCCAGCAAATCTTGCAGTAGTACAGTAGATCAACACTGCAGCATCTGCCGAAATTTGTGATGATGCATTACATTTATGCATAGTTGACAATCGAAATAGTTCTATCCCGAATGTCTTGCAAAATGGTTATTTTTGCACAAATATTTTGCTCATGCAAAATGCAATAAAATAATATCAATTTTTTCTTTCTCTCTCTCACTCTCATTTTTTTTAATAAAGCAACAATTCCTTCTATTTTACCTCTCATGGAAGATGTGCATCAGTGCAGACACTGACTAAATTGCTGACATTTAATTGTAATCAATGGCATATTTCTCTGAAGTGTTAAAAAATGTCAACTCTGTGAGTTCTTCCAGTTAGTGTACCCAGTGCAAGTTCTTTTCAACACTGAAAATCTTTAGTCACAACAGGAAAAAATATAAAACTTGCGCAGTCAGTTTTATCAATGTTTTCATCTAAAATAACTGAATAATAAACATCTTCATTCTGTATTACTGTATGAAGTTGCTCTGTTACATTTCAGCTAATCCGTACTGCTGATTTGTTAAGCTGCATTTACACCACGCATTCGCACCTAAAGCATTCACTAATCAGAAGCAGGTTCAGAGGCGGCATCTGCCGGATGCCCGGTGATCACATGAGTCAACTCAACTTTAACTTTTTGACGCGTCAGTTTCAGGCATCTCGTTTCAAACACCCAGTTTATACCATGGTTTTTAAGTGATTGCGCTTTCAAAAATTCTTTTTGATGGGAGAAAAAAAAAGTCAAATGGATTAATCTTAATAAAAATTTCAGATTAAATAAAAAAATGCATATGCTAAATTTTATTTTAAAAAATGCATACCTTTAAATAATTTATCAAGCTAATAGAATAAATAGCTTTATAAATTATTTAAAGGAAAATTCTCAAGTTTATTAGTAGTAATAAACCGTAATAATCAACCATAAATGATATATGGCTGATAAGTTTCACAGAATACTCTAAAGCAATAGATTGTTGCGAGAAAACAGCGATGGATTTCGAAATCCTAGATTCTGAATTTTTTTCTTAACATATATCTACATCAATTTAAGGTTGCTCTTGCTGCCTAGTGGATAAAACATTGGCTTCTTAAGTTCTTCTTGGATTCAAGTGTCACCAGAGTGGTGTTGTAATGAAATTGGGTTTTTTTTTTTTTTTTAAATATTTACAGAAAATATTATGGCTAGTTTGCTTTTACTAGGGGCTTGTGTTGCGGGTTCGGGCCTTGCTTTTTCCTATCTTTGATAATGGTACGAATATACTTCTTTTTTTTTTTTAAATCTACCGCGGATTTTTTTGGGGGGTGGGGTGACACAAGAAATTTGCATTTATTTTTCATTTCATTCATCCTTCACACAAACCTAATTTTCGCTCGGCATTGTGTACATTATCCTCCTTTGGAGTAACTCATAAGATCTGACTACTATGATCTGATTCTACTTCGGCTGACACGAGACTAGCAAATGCAATATGAGTTCTGGATTTTAAACCAAAGGTGATGAATAAACCATT